TTTGGATTTGGGTATATTTCTGTCACGCTTTGGTTTATTAGTGGTAGCTGCTATCTTGCGGTCCTCACGTAAATCGAAGAAGGATTGTGCTTTTTAAATTATAATCGAAATTCAATCAGTTATATTTCATAGGATTTTAGGTCCTCAAAGCTGTGATTGTGGAGATTTCTATCTTCTGGGATAACGGACTACACGGCGTTACATCCTAGAAAATAGAACTTTTCGGTTATTTTTCGTTCGCAGCCTTGCTTTCTGCAACAAACCTGGACCGTCTGCACACCTTGTGATTCATTTTCGTGTTCAACCTACAAGCCTACACTTACTCATAACTGACATTCATATTCTACCTATGGCTCTACAGCCCTTGTGGACTTTGGCCGCTTTTTAATTTTCTTGATCCTATAGACAGACAGTAGGACTCCTTGGACGGGGGATCAGCCCGTCGCAAGGCCGCTACCTACACACAAAACAACACAAATATAGAATAAAAGGACACAATTCAGACATCCATGCCTCGAGTGTGATTCGTACCCATGATCCCAGCGTTCGAGCGAGCGAAAACAGTTCATGCCTCAGACCACGCGGCCACTGTTACCGTCTTCTGTTCTCTGTTGTTAACAGAAATATTTTGCTGACCAATGTGCGGCGCTATAAATAGATGAACTACGTAACGTCGAATGATAATGTAATGGATGAGTGATGAATTGGGAAGGATTCAGAAGGTCGCGGCCGTAACCAAATCGAGACGCTCTCGTGCCGTTCGTTTGAAACACCGTAAATTTTGTCTCGTTTCCCATACCATTTGAAGTACCTTATAGTGTGACATAAGTGTGTATTAACATACATTTTTCCCAGTCCTGGAATATAAGCACAACAGATCACTGTGGTCGCGGTGCAAGGGCCGAGAAGGCCCACCCCTTATACATTCATTCATTCAATCCTGGAATATCTTATGTAGTTTGTTACTATTTTAACCCATGTGGAGCCTATAATTTCGTGTCTGTAAATATTTTCACTTCTAAAATAATCACGTGTACAAAGAAGTAGATCTATATTTACAGCAGCAGTACAACAAACAAGGGATAAAATTAAATAACAGGATGAAAGACGTGTCAATAATTTATCTAGCAATGTCTCTACAGCCCTTTCTTTTGGATCTCGGCCGCTTTTTCAGTATCTGTATCCAATATACAACCAGTAGGAGTCCTTGGCAAGGCCGCTACCTACACACAGGAAAACATAAACACAGAATAAACGCACACAATACAGACATCCGTATCTTGAGTGGGATTCGAACCCACGATCCTANGTATACAACCAGTTGGAGTCTTGGCAAGGCCGCTCCCTACACACAGGAAAACATAAACACAGAATAAACGCACAAAATACAGACATCCGTATCTTGAGTGGGATTCGAACCCACGATCCCAGCTTCGAGCAAGCGAAGAGAGTTCATGTCTTAGACGCGCGACCACTGTGATCGGCCGTGTCAATAATAGTCTTGATAAACAGGAATTCAGACTATGAAAATGTCCATTGAAAAAATCTGTGAACATTTTTATGTCAATAGAACTGGAATCATTCAGCCCATATTTGCCTATATTTCAACTGTTGCATGGCTGTGTGCAACTTGTAGAAACCATAAAAACGCTGCATGAATGTAAATATTCTTGTTAGTATGGTTAGGACTAGTAACCGGTTGATGTTACCAACTAGAATTGTACCTTCCCCAAAATTTCTTTATGCTCCATTCAAAGGATCCGCAGGACTTTCTATAAAATGAACATAATCTTCTGCCGATCACGGTAGCCGAGCGGTCTAAGGCATGCACGGTCTTCGGTCGCTTGGGAACCGGGATCGTGGGTTCGAATCCCACTCAGGGCATGGATGTTTAGTTTGTGTGTGTGCGTTTTTCTGTGTTTGTGTGCAGGTAGAGGCCTTGCGACGAGCTGATCACCCGCCCAAGGAGTCCTACCGAATGTCTAAGCTCTAGTAAAACAGAAGTGAAACGGAGAGTTTCATGGAGGTAAGCCAAGGCCCAAACTGGGGCTGTAGAACCAAAGGGTGGAAAATAAATAAATAAATTTCTTAATGGGAGAAGGTTCTTAGTAGATCTGACATGTTAAAGCTAGCATTAGTAGACCAAATATATTACCTGATTTTTTTATTTAGTTTTATTTTCATTCTATTTATAGAAGGGAACAAGAATAGAGCAGTCTGGGTTATGCAAAATGCTGGAATTGTTCCTAAACCGAAGCTTAACTCTATATTTCAACTTGATCAATTTTAATTATTTCTCTAGCTCCTTATGGGTAAACTGGTGGAGCAGAACTTTTGCCTAACATTGAAATAGACCTATAGGTTTGCCATACTATTGGCACTTCCGTAGCGGCTAGATTGTAATGTATTTAGGACTATTTTGGAATGGCAGCTTCTATAATACAGCATTTGCATTTGAAATGTAGTGATAATTCTATTGGTTATGGCGTTAATTTCGTGCCATATATAGTAAGACTAATCTAGCGAGTTTATAGCTGTATGGTCTATTAAAATTAGAATTATATAGGCGATGAAATTTGTTGAGGTCAAGTGGTAACTAAGTTACAATAATGACAGTTCTGCTGCTGATGTATTGCAATGGTGGTCATGCGGTCTCTACATGACAGTCTATCGACTCTTTGAAACCTGAAAATCGTCTAATTAAAAAGTTCAGTTCGTACCTCACAGGAAACATAGTGGCGCCTTCATATATAAACAGTCGGTGAATGTTGTTTGTCGGAATATTCACTATTTATTCCGAGAATCATATGTGACCCATAAATACAAACTTGGGGTAATATCCACAGTCTTTTAATGCTAAAGCAGATGGTACACATGGTAGCCACTGTACTTTAAATACGTAAATTGTTGTTTACTCTATATCATGACAGTGCCAATGGTAAAAAATATTCATTTCTGAAGGGTTCTAATAATGGTGCATTACATTCTGGACTGATTTTTCTCTGGACTTGCTCCATCTCCTAATAACATTCTACAAGAGCGCAAGGTTTCGGAGACTGTAACTGCTTCCATCATCAGGTGTATATGTGGAGAGGCGCCTACTCAGCTGAGTCCATCAGACAGAGCGAATCTCTATAACAAGAACATGCAGGTTCCAGAGGTTCAGACTGGGTCTATGTAGCTCACCCAACTGAGAGAATATTTTACCATCCTCTCCCCTGAGGATGGAAATATTTTCTGAAATGTCGTGTTCATATACGATTATGATGGGAAAGCTAGAAGTAAAGAGACAACTGGGAAAACCTAGACATAGGTGGGAGGATAATATTGGAATGGATCTTAAGAGGAATAATATGGGATGATATGGATTGGATATATCTGGCTCATGATAGGGGCGAGTGGTAGAATTTTGTGAACACGGTTATGAACACTCGGATTCAATAAAATATTGGGAAATTCTTGAGTAGCTAAGCGGCTGGTGGTTTCTCAAGAAGTACTCAGCTTCATGAAGTTAGGTAGTTAGTTAGTTAGTTAGTTAGTTAGTTAGTTAGTTAGTTAGTTAGTTAGTTAGTTAGTTTGCTGTGTTCTTTTGAAATACTGTTAGACGAAGGGGAAATTCCGAAATCTCGGCAAACTTCAGTAGGACATTTTAGGCCTAGGTTTCCATGATGGAAGGCACAAGGTGGCAGGTCAATTATGGTAATAGTGCCATGTCTTATAAGACCACGGTTGTGAAATGGTTAGTACGAAGACGAAAGTTGTGAACTGCGGTAAATATTCAGTAACTTACTAATGACGTTTCTTCAGCTCCACAGGCATATGAATGTTTGCACAGGATGCAAGCCTGCATTTCATTTTACTAAGAAGGGAACTTCAGAAGCAAACAGAATGTCAATATCTCTATATAGTACAATGTAGCACATGGAAACATAATTAGTATGAATTTTGGATTCTGACAGTTTTGAAATCCTGTGGGGTGAATCAGTTATTTTGTGGGTAGCTACTGTTAGAAGTAATTAAGCAGACATTTCGACTTCCATTTTTAGACCCGAATATTACCACAAATTTTATTGTAAATGTTCTAATTTTCTCCCGTTGTGAAATTCTGATCCCAGCTACTTATAGACATTGAAAATATGTAAGTATGGTCTTACTGATTTCGGTTGTCCAGTAATAGAGATTAACTCTTTCTAACGAACCCAAAATTTTCACCTGAGGAAGGAAACGGATTCCGTGTCCGAAACATTAACAAGTGATCAATAGCGTCATAGATGAGCAGGTAGCATTACTTCTGAGAGAACATTCTGTTTGCTTCATGCCATTTTCTTGTCCCTTTTACTCATTCACAATGAAGATAGAGGCGATATGTTCTTTCGAAACGTTGGTTGACTCTAACCGGATTGCACGAGAATTTCGTATCGTAAAATTATCATTTATTTTGGATTTTGAGAGCGTTAAAAAATGTCACGGAAGAGTCAGTTACTTTAGCAGTCGTTTAGCTCTCGTAAGAAACAAATAAGTAGTATCACATCGGGGAATTATTTTCGTTGGCGCGTTTAGAAACTAAGTTAACACTGACTGTAACTTATTTCAACAAACGTATCCAATGCTTATGTTCGCTGTTAATATGAATTTTACTTTCCGTGAAATATCTCTGTTCCTAAAAAAATTTTTGTCGAGAAGGCAAGGATTTGTTTCGTCTCTTCTGAAAAATTTGTGTCCATAAGCCTTCTCTCTATAATAAGACCCTGTATCCCACTAGGAAAGTTGTCTATGGATAAACCTGTCACAACATGTCCCGTAACATTTATTTTATGAGTAATAACTGAGTTATCCGTATGTTCTTGAGCTTCCTGAATAGATCCAGCTCCCTCCTAAGGAGACAATACAGAATACGTCTACCTGCGGGTAAGCAAAACGCATGGAACCTTCAGAACTACTCTACCCTGCTACTAAACACAATTTCCTGTTTGCTATAACGTGTTTACTGCTGCACTCACCTATGTTGTGGGAGGTTGTAACAGCGCAACAGCCCCCTGGAGGGCCACCATGGGCCAACAAGGGGTGCTGGTGGAGGCCGAGCCCAAGGGCCGCGGCAGGGAGGTATGTGGGGGCCCCAGCTGTGGTCGCCAGGACGCCAGGCGTCTCCTGTAACAGCTGTTGTTGTTGCTGGTTAAGATGTACCAATTCACCGTCACTAGATGAAGAGTAAGCCACAGGAGTCAGGCCACCACCGCCTCCACCTCCCCCGCGGCGCCGGGGGTGTAATTGTCCAGGGGGGTGCTCCTGTATAGGCGTCGTGTTGGTGCCGGTGTTGGAATGTTGATCAGAGTCTAATGGTAGTCTTGACAAGAATGTATTCACAGACAAATATTCAGAATTCTTCAAAGTCTGGATGTAAAATAATTTGATTGATTTAGGTTGAATTTCTGCTCCCTCTTACTAAGGGTCAGTACGAAGATTAAAACGCCCCTTTAACGTAATTTCTGGAATCCTGGCAATCAATTCGGTTTCCCTTCAGCATACAATTTATTCTGGGGGGTGCAATGAACCCCCCTTTTCTGAATTTTTTCGCAGCCAGTTCACTGATCACGTAACAGAAATATTTGGGAAGACTCTCACTTCAGACGTGCAGATCGCCCTCCAGACAAAGAATATAAGATGCTGCTGTGTACAATATAACGATTAAGATTATGCCGTATGTGAGCAGTTGTGAAATAAGTGGCTTAAGAAGTATTTTGAAAATATCTTTCAGCAATGCAATACAACAATAAAAATTAATTAATCTCGCTGTGATGATTTATGACGTTCGTATTATATATTATTCTATTTGCGTTGTACTGTAGTTTCCCAGACGTTAACTGGTTACAATTTATTTGTCTCCGAGAACATGATTTCGATTTATTTCTTCAGCACGGAAGCATACAATGTATTTACATTGCGATGCTTAACATTCAGCAATAGGCGTTCTCTACCAAAGTAATGAAATGGCTCACATTAAATAGAAAGTAATGAAACGATACACTCATATAACATAGTCTTAGGCCTAAATGTAACACGTGGTTGGTTACAGTTTATCAGTTGTTGTTCAACAACGGCCACGCTAGATAATGATAGTTACCTAGTTATTTCTAGACAGGTTCACAACAATGCTGTGTTCATACGTCTATTACTATTGTTATGTCCTGCTTGCAGTCTTTACAGTTGTCCCGGAACAGCTGTCGCTACACTACACTCGACTTATACCAAACCACTGGATTGTTGCCAGTAAGCACTTCACGATTTCCGCACACTGATGTCGACTTTACAGAAATATGCAAGCTTGGGAAATATCAGTTCAGTAAAGAAAAATTTCCTCACTCTTTTCCTTCTTTTCTTTCTCTCTCTCTCTTTTTCCACGACAGAGGTGGGGGGATGGTTTGTATTTGTGCCGTGCGCGCGAGATATCGAGAACAGAAACCTTTCGCACTTGAAACTGCGCGACCACTGAATGGTCTGCAACACTTCTGCTTCTGCGCCGTACCGCTGCGCCGCGCCACGGATGCTATCACGTGACTCGTTTGCGCATTGGTTGATTCATATGTCAGCGGACTAGGAGGATTGATCCTAGCCACGCCCATTTAAAAACGTAACAGGTTAGTAGTACGACCTGCGCAAGCGCCTCCTACCGTATCACCATGGCAACCGCCCAATTGTCTTCCTATTGGTTCGTAAGAGGTAACAGGATTCTGAACCGTATAGACTAGAGATGAGATGAAGAAAGCAGAAGAAGAAACAGGGATGGGGGAAGAAGAAAATGAGCGTAAACATAGACGAAGAGAACTTTACAAGAAAAACGTATAAGGGTGTTACTGCGGGAGACGGATTTTTTTTTCTACTCGTTTTGTTTTGCTTTTCTTTCTTTGAGCCTCCCATTGCGCGAATCGCGTGTTTCGTCAATAAAATGCTGCCACCGCCACCGTCACCTCCACCACCTAGCAGTTCTGAATATTCTTCTTCTAATATTCCCTTTCGCTTTTTGTGTCTCCTCAAGTATCGAACCTGTGCTTACATAAATCTTCATCCGAAATGTTTCCTTTGCAGATGATATTAAAAAAAAAATGGGAATCTGAACAAGACGGGTATAACTAATACCATAGTAAAATATTCGTCTAGAAAAATATTACCAAGGGGCGGCTATATGAAAGCAAATTCTTGGCAATAAAAACAGTAAAAGCAAAAAGTAAAGCTATCCCTTTAACAGGCCATGAAGGCCCATAGAGTTGTAAAATGTTGAGCTTCCCACATTATCTAGACAATCGGCTCATAGGTGGGGATTAGGTTTTCAGCCCTACGCGCCGGCCACCCTTTACCCCCAAGAATATTCCTGGTAATCATTTCTGTTAGAGGCTGAGTCGACCCCAGGGACATAGAGTGGCTGGGAGGATTAGGTAAATTGAAAAAAAAAACACCTCATCGGGATTCGATCCTGCGACCTTCCGGCTTGTAGCATAGTGCCTCAACCAACTACTCTACCTCGAGCCCCCCCCCCAAAAAAAGAACAGACATGCAAAAGTTAAAAACAGCGGAAATGCAATTCCTGAAATATGAAAGGGATTGTGGGAGACCGAATAAAATTATGATTGAAGAGGTAAGGAGAATAAGAAGATGCAGGCTGTCTAGAACATGTGGAAGAAGATCGATGTCGAATTAGACCCAAAGAAAGAAGAGATTGTGGTGGACCTCGCAGAAATTGGAATTCATAGAGGCCGGAAAAGGCCACCTGATTAAAATTTTGAATTGGAGGAGAAGGAGAAGGAGAAGGAGAAGAAGAAGAAGATTCATCAAACCCCTAAATCTAATGAGAGTCATGCTTAGTAAAGCCTAGAGGTTGAAAATTTCGTGGCACAATCTGGCCTTTAGATTTCTTTCATGTACGACTGTAGTATTAATGCATTCAGGTCTGTTCAGTTAGAGTTCTGAATATTCACAAAGATTAGGAACAAATTTTGCAATTAATTTACATATTTATTTCGGTTGATATTTAAGTTAAATGAAGAAAATTTATATTTAAACAGCTCACGTACTGGCAGATCGACTGTTCTTTTCACATAGGCCTACAGATTTGCCTGTCTAGCACTTTCAATTAAGTTTCACCGGAAATAAAAAAAATTAAAATTAAATTGCCCCTTGCTGAATTGAGCACCACAAAATGAAGACATATAGGGGATTGGAGGTGCAGTTCCACGAACTCTTAACCTCTCCCTATATGCAGTTGAGCTGTGAGCTTCACGTTCCAGCCGCTCTACCCCAATAGCTATGAGGCTGAGTGGAACCCCGTTCCGACATGGATTCAGTGGTGAAGAGAAAAATCTTTGTAAGATTTGAGGTTTTCACGGCGGTCACTATTAAGAATGCTGTTTTTTAGGATGTGGCGCCGCGTAGATCTCGTGTAAGCAGACGTTTCGAGCGAACGTATCGCCTCCATCATCAAGGTATATCAGCAGTTTGATATGTCGACTTCTATACCAGCCGCGTGGTGGTTATAAAAGGCAGGACATTCGTGGATTCGAGAGCCGTAGAGAGCAATGAGAGATTAGTGAGCGATTCGTGAGAGATTAGTCAGGGATTCTACATAGAATATTCGTTAGACAGACGTCGTTCGGAAGGAGTTCAATGTGTGAGCTGTTATAGTTCACTGTAATTGCAAATAAGCCCCAATAAACCCAATAACCAAATCCAGAACCCATTTTATTAGTCACGCCAAACTCTCACACGTGACAATATGTTCGTCGTAATATACAGAAGAAAATTTTGTCTTCATGTAGCCTATTGACTATAGGCCTATATCATGGCCAAGGATCCACGATAGTTCAGGTAACAAGAGCCTGGGAACTGGGCTCCACATTTCGATCCCCGCCGAGAAAAATTCATTTCTTTCTTCACTTCCATAAACAAAACGTCTCTGGATTTCTCCAGCGCTGGAGCATGTTGCAGCACAACAGCAAACATATATACGTGTATATCATGAACGGGTTAAGAATGCGTAATGCTTTATCATCACTCTCCCTAGGACATTCATGTGGTTTTCTTTATGTCAGGATAGAAGCCAATGTGCTTTCTTCTTAAGCAAATTCCTGGTGTTCTTATAATTACGTACCTGCTCCCATCTCTATGTAAGCCTAAACTTAGGTCATGTCTGGTAGAGTCCCAATAGTATGTGGGCATCCCTATATGGACATCAAAAGGGGGGTATGCAAATGACTTTGCAAAAATCAATAACGGTGACATAAAATTTAAATTCTATGGGGAGGGAATGGTATTCTTCCTGAAGACCAGCGAAATTTCATCCCATCCAAATGTAATTGTAGGGTCGTCAACATTAAAACATTTAATCTCTCAACCACTTAGGCTAACATGAAACTATTAATCGCTTAATAGGAACAATAGAGGTACAAGGGGGCACGCGGTAGCGCAGTTGGTTGAGGCATTATACTACAATCCGGAAGGTCGCGGGATCGAATCCAGATGAGGTGGATTTTTTCAATTGACCTAATCCTTCCAACCGTACTATGGCCATAGGGTCGACTCAGCCTTTAACAGAAATGAGTACCAGGAATATTATTGGGGTCAAAGGGCGGCCGGCTCGTAAGGCTGACAACTTTACTACCATCTATGAACCGATTTTCTGGAAAATGTGGGAACCTCAACATCTCACAACCCTATGGGCCTCCACGAACTGTTAGAGGGAAACCTTTACTTACTTAATTTTATAAGCACATGAAATTTTTAAGCACAAATAATAGCACTGTTAGCAGGGCTAGAGGTCCATAAGAGTGGATTATTTTTTGTTAGTGTCCATATGTGATATTTGGTGTCCTGTATTTTTATGAAAGGGTAGTTTGTTTCAAATGATAATGTTTCTGGCTAGAATTTTGGAGGTGATCGATTCAAATCTCGGTCGGTATACTGGCTCTGCTGACTGAGAAATTTTACTGGCTCTACGTCCTCTTTGGGCCCTGGCCTCTGAATTTTCAGTTTCATTATTGTTTTCCAGACGGTAGGACTCCTTGGACGAGTGGTAAGCTCGTCGCAAGGCCTTTACTTAAACAAAGGACAACACAAATACAGAATAAACACGTACACATACCAAACATCCATGCGTTTTGTGAAATTCGAACCCACGATCCCGGCTTCCGAGCGAACAAAGACAGTTCACGCCTTAGACCGGCCTGCGCTCTCTGGTAATTATCTTAGTTTCACTCAACCCTGCAGACAAATGCAGATATTATATCTGAAATTAAACCATGAAAGCTTCCAAAATCTTTCTTTAGCGTTATTTATAAAATCATTTTGTCATTCGATGATCAATAAATCTAAGACTAAATCTCTTGTAGGACAAAATTATATGTAAGCCTTTTTTGTATTGCTAGTGGGACTAAGTACCTTGTACTGCGGCT